CTTAGTAAACCAATGTAATGATGATGTGATAAGCACAGACATGGACTTAAAAAGAGTTAACTCAAATACTTATGGTGTGGATGGAAACCTTTTTATCATTCGTCTACCATCATAAAAGTATTTGCTTTCTGCCTGCTTTGTTGAATACTAAATCCTAATATACAAGCCCACATACTAAAAGAAATAAGGTGTCTGTATTTGCTGACATCTGTTCCTCTGTCATTATGATTTTCTGGCTTTCAAACTTTTTAATCTTTTTGATCCAGAACAGGTATGCTAATGAGGGGTCTGACTGGCTGGAGCCAAGAGTCAACAAACTTGATCAGAAAGGTTATCAAAGTCAACTTACTAGAGATGGTAGCCTCAAGACAATACACAAGCACTTGAATTGTAATAGAAGCAAGGCAGGATTTATCTTACAATAAAATGTAGAGTATATAATTTGAGAGACAGTAGCCACAAATATTGCTCAGTGACTGGATATATGTCAGCTGCTAGGTCAACTGCAATACTACAGGTATAGTAGAGACAAGTTTTATTTTGAAACAGAAATTATTTGAGTGACAATTTTCACACAAAAAATTGTATAGTGGAGGCAGGGGCAGACTGACAACTCATGGGGCCCCCGGGCAATAGGGGACCATGGGGCCCCTGTGCCCTCACCCACACTCAAACCACACCCTAAAAAGCCTATGAAAGGTACTAGGGGCATCTTATGGGGCCTCCCTACTGACCCTGGGCCCTTGGGCAGTGCCCAAATGGTCAGTCTGCCCCTGGTGGACGGGCAGTATGTTAGCTGTTTGGTTAGGCCGCAATGTAAGAGGGAGAGACAAGGCAGGTTTTCTCTTGAAATAAACATTTCTGAGACAAGATCCATAAATATTTTTGAGTGTAGAAGCACCAGAATAGGCCGCAAACTGTAGACACAAAGCAGGATTTACCCTGCAGTCAGTCATTAGAAATGTGGGAGCTGAGGTCCAGTTGTGGAAACATTGGGTGGTAACTTTACAGTGCTGGGGCACCAGGACAGGATGCAGACTTTAAAGCACAATGCTGTTTTTTTTGTTTCATTTTAATAGAAGTGAGTAGGTCACTACTGCGAGGAGACAGGTGGATTCGCCTTTACGTAACAAAACCTTCAGCACACATCAACACACTGGTTGTAAGGAGAACCAGATGCTCCAGTGCATACTGTGCAAGTTTCAATGCATGCCATAGTTGTTTATCACAGTGACTCTGAGATACAGAGGGCAGATGTGCCCTGCCTCTAGATCATAGTTTCTCAACCAGGGTTTCATGGAACCCTAGGTTTCCTTCTGTCTTAGCTGTGATTGAGGCACAGATCGTCCCTGGAAAATGATAGAAGGGACTTATGTAAATGTCTTTATTCTCAGCATCTTCTGGAACTGGAGACAGAAAACTTGCTGTATGCACAACACCATCTAATGCAGGGTTTCTCAACCTGGGTTCCTCCAGAGGTTGCTAGGGGTTCTTTGAGCAATGAGCATTTTCTGCTTCTCAGATAAGTTCCCACTGACACAATTGATCTTTATAGCTATCTGTAAGGGGGTAATTCTTACCCAATGACCACAAGTGTAAGGAGTATTCTTTCAATTGACCATCAAAATAATGTATCATGAGTTGTAGATATAGTAACTTTTAGCAGGGGTTCCCTGAGACGGGAACATTAGTTCAAAGGGTTCCTCTGTGTTGTAAAGTTTGAGAAAGGCTGCCCTATATTGTGCAGCCTGACCTCTGCGTTGCCCTGCAAAACTTCCTTGGTTCTACTTCCCCATGTGCAGAACCCCTGTCACTTTGTCTCTTGCTTTTAGACCTGCCTGACATATTCATAAAGGGAATTGCCTAAATTTTATCACTTTTTTGGCCATAGGGAGATAAATAAGTAGTGCTTTGGTGAAAATATACTTTACTTCAGTTATGTGGTGACCTGCTGCAAAGGGGTCTGAAGTTGTTGGTGATAGATACAGAAAGGTAGTTCTTAAAAGGACTGTTGGGTCCCTAAACTATAAACACGGGAGGGTGGGGTTACATGAGAATATGTAACCCACCATACTGCAGTCTACAGAAATTTAGCACAGTATAGTAGTGTCTAGCAACCAATTTTGCCTACCCAGTGTCAGGAATGGACTCGCCAATAGTGGTGGGACTCACCTGCCTTGTGGGTTGCAGTACCAGGGATGGCCAGCAGGTGCTCTCAGCAACCAGAGGCTCATTCCTGCAATCAGCCAAAACACCTGAGGCTGATTGCAGAAGGTGCATATAAGGAATGACCAGGCCTGTGATCTGGGCCTTGGTGTATGTTTCCCATGAGCCCCTGTACCTGGTATCCTGTGTTCCTGCCTTGTTGCTGACCCTGCTTTGATCCTGACCTCTTCTGACCATCTCCTGTTGAACTCCTGGCTTGCCTGACCATCCTTCTGCCTGCCTGATCCTCGGTACCGCGCTGCCCGCTACCTGCTGAACCTGGCTTGTGACCCCGACCATTCTCTGCTTGCTCCTCCTGTACCACGCTGCCCGCACGATACCGACCCGGCCTGTCTGACTACGCTTACTTCACCCGACGAATCCATCCCGCACGGATCACCTTTGGTAAGTCTGCCTGCCTCTTCCCATCAGACTCCGTTCCTGCACTCCCCTGCCAGTACTCTCTACCACAGCCTGACGCACTCAGGGGTCGCGACCTGGTTCCAGTCTGCACTAAGTCCATCCCCACCATCAGGGGCCCTGGTGAATAGCAGGCTGGTACTTAGACCCCGCGCCCTGGGGAAATCTGTGTTCTTGAAGCCTGCTACTTCCCTGTGTCAGTCCACACATTTCTGGTCATACCCGGATCCCTAACACCCAGACTTTCTTTTCTCCCTAATCCACTCCAAAAAGCATTAACAAATGGCTGCTGGAAACCCACCCTTTCAGAGTGAGGAGGCTAGAACATAACAAAGCCCCCGTTATTGGCCCTCTAAGCCACATACAAAGAAACAGAGGGTGCAAGGGCCTAGTGCATTACCTAAGAAAATTAGTTTATTGTGTAAAAAAGTGGTATACTCAGAAAAGGGTAAAAATCAAGGGCACATCATAAGAAGTACAGCATGGTCCAATCTCCCTTGATGGTGTCTTAAAGGGGACTATAGACTTCCAAATGCTGACGCGTTTCAAGGCTATGCCTCTTCCTCAGGGCCTATTGGCCCTCTAAGCCCTCTAAGTTCACAGACAGGGCAGCATATTATGGTTATAGAGAATTTAGTCTGGCAAATTTCCACATTAATACACTGGACTGCAAATTTTGAACAATTTCATCCCTGCAATCTGCATATTTCAGCGCAGGTATCCTTTAAGATTCAGGGCATTCCGCATTGCAATAGACAAAAACAATGAAGCATACATTGTCTGTCTTTGATACCAGAGCAGAAACATCAGGACATTCTGCAGTGCAGTGCAGAGAGAAAAAAAAATAAATATTGGTTCAATTTCATTTCATTTCATTTCAAAAAAAGAAACCCCAAAATTTTACCCATTTCTGTAAAAGGCTGATACATTTTGTAAATATAAAGTACAAAAAATTGTGCCGCGCTCCAATTATTAATATACAAAAACTAACCATGTGATCCAACATCAAATAAATAAAAAAAAAAAAATATATATATATATATAAAAATTATAAAGCCATAAATGTGTGATATATAATATATGTATATATAAAGATTTCTTAAATAATTGTATATATCATTTGGACTATTTTTGATGATATATCACACATTTCTAGCTTTATCATTTTTATTCATGTATGTATATATATAAATATATATATATATATATATATATATATATTTTTTTTTTTTTTTTTTTTTTTTTTTTTTTATTTATTTGATGTTGGATCACATGGTTAGTTTTTGTATATTAATAATTCGAACGCGGCACAGTTTTTTGTATTTTATATTTAGTCACATGCACTATTTATGAGTTAGTGGTGAGTCTCAGCGAACCAAGTGTGTGTTTATTTTATTAAATTAATTGATTTAATTAATTGATCAATTTAGCACAATTTTCATTTACCATAGTAGCTCACAAGCACTTAAAATTTTTTTTTGATATATTTTGTAACTGAACCTCAAGGACTTTAAAGGGTGGTGTCCAAGCAGACGTGTAGTAAAATGGTAACCCCAAGAATTTTTTTCCAAATCTTAAAATTCAGTTGAGGGAGATAGAAGGAAGAGAGAGGGTTTGTCTAACTAGGTCTGTTTTGCTACAAATGCAGAGTGCATCACATTGGTCAAACTCTGGTACCCTATTGGACCTCATGATCATATTTAGACACACTACGCAATTGCTACAATACGAAAGTGGAGACAAGGATATGAAAATGGAGGTTTTTGGTGGAATGTCTAACTAAATATTTATTTATGAAACTTCCATTATACTTTTAAAAAGATATTTATTCATATCCACACCTGTTTTGCAAAGTCACACTTAAAGGGTAACTCCTTTTTCATAGGAAAAAAAATTAGCAAATTAAAAAAAATATATATAGTGTATATAATTGCGACTCAAGTCATATTGTAATTGAATGTTATTAAAAATTGCTTTTCCTTTTTAGTCTGCAGAGCTGTAATTTTCTGTAAAATGCAATATGGCAACCTGGAGGAGTTCTGCGTAAAGTTGGTGTACAGAATGTCCCCTGAAAGTGTCATTCCCAGCTTGTGTGATTGGCTCACTGGTTCTCCCAGAAGTCTGCACTAAGCTACAAGTCAGATTTTGGGCATCCCCTGCAACAAAAATTTCATTTTTGATGAGATGTTTTCAAAGAGAAATCAGGTCTAAAGGGATGTAGACCCTGTCACTTTCCTCATTAGAACCCTGCAGGTGCAACAACTGATAAATATGAAACCACTCCAATACAGATTCACTCTGCACATGGACACATAGAAACAAACAGCGGTTTCCTCAGAATAACAAAAAAGGTAGGAAATCTGCAACAAAGTTTGTTAAAATTCTTGCAAAGTACATGGAGGGGAGTGTTTTTTTTTTTAACAAAAGTGGAGTTACTCTTTAATTTAACAAAAAAAACCACATTTTAAAATTGTTTAGCAAAACAGGGAAATCCTGAAGATCTGGTGACATTAGAGCAGTGTTTCTCAACCTTTTCTAAGTCAAGGCACCCTTTAAAATTATGGACAGTCCCGAGGCTCCCTTTAAAATTATGGACAGTCCCGAGGCACCCTTTAAAATTATGGACAGTCCCGAGGCACCCTTTAAAATTATGGACAGTACCGAGGCACCCTTTGAAATTATGGACAGTCCCGAGGCACCCTTTGAAATTATGGACAGTCCCGAGACACCCTTTAAAATTATGGACAATCCCCAGGCACCCTTTAAAATTATGGACAATCTTGAGGCACCCCATTCTAAAATGTGAAAAACTATTCTAATAGTTTTATATAACACAGCAACATCCACACACATAGGACACCCAACATTAGAGGTGATTAATTCTTCCAAAGCAAATACACTTCTGAACACTAGTACTGACTAGTATTCCAGTGTTTCTCCTCTCCCTCAGTTTTTCTCCATCACTGAGCTAATGAGTGACCCCAGCACTGACAGAGAGGGGCAGAGGATGAGCAAATTAGGATGCTGTGCAGGCAGCTGATATCCTCCTTATCAACCGACATTGCCATTGGTTGTCAGGATGCCGGTGGCTAGAAGTTCGTAGTGGTGCACAATGAAAACCTTTGGCTTTGTGTGACTAAAAGGCAGGCTTGTTCCACCCGCTGGCTTGTATACACGTTTTGGGCAATTTTTAGACATTTGCACCCCTGAAGAAACCTCAAGGCACCCTGGTTGAGAGAGGCTGCATTAAAGAAGAACTCCGTGAAGCATTCTTTATACCTAAACTGTCTTCTTAACAAAATGCCACTGTATGTTTTAAGAAATAATGAGTGATGGTGATTCTAGCAAAGAAGATCGATTGATCTTCTTAGGCAACATTTGCTTGAAAAAAAAAAATATTTTTCTTCTTTATTAGATGATTTTTCTTTTGTTTGGAGTGGGGGCAAGATTTTTTTCATGGTTTCTAAATTTTTTAACATTTTACATCTCTATTTAGGACTAATTGTTGAAATGTTTAATAAACCCAATTGCTGCTGGTTGATTTGATATTGTTTAGTAAGGACTTAGACAGGAGCATTTAAGGTCATGTATTTTACCTAGATGAGAAATAGGAAAACTAATTTTCTGAGTGTGAAATAAGGACAATTATGACACATGATTACACCTTTGAGTCTATTTAATCTTAGAACTGCATCTCGTGTTTATGGCGTTCGCCTACAAATGGATTAGGATAATGAGAAGACTTATGTCAGCCTTGACATTTCCTAAGTATCTCTGAAATATAATTAGTCCTAGCTAAAGTATAGCAATGTGGGGCTTACATTTGTCAACCATTTCTAGTAAAAAAGGCAGGGTAGCTTCCTAGTTCCCTTAACGCCTTTTTTTATGGCGTCCTTGTTCAAGTTCACTTTGTTAGTTTTGCAATAATAGGTTTAATTACTGACTTCACTCGCAGTATTTAGATGTTTGTCAGTATACAATATGTAGGTGTAGAATGGAAGCAAAAACCAAAAATAACTCCCCTCCCTCCTAGATTGCAGCTCGAAATGAGTAGGGCCCTCTAACCCCTTGTGTACTGTTTGATGTTACTGTTCTGTTTCATGTATTGTATGTGGTAGAGCGCTGAGCAACCCTTTGGCGCTATATAACCGATAAATAAATAAATAATAAATAACTCTTTCCAAATGGTTTTAATGGACACTTCATGCAGTTGGCGATGGAAGGCTTGGATGCAGCTGCTCGGCCATGGAAACCCATTCCATGAAGCTCTCTATGCACTGTTGTTGTGCTCATCTGAAGGCCACACCAAGTTTGGAGGTCTTTGGCTATTGACTCTGCAGACAGTTGGTGACTTCCGCACACTGTGCGCTTCAGCATGCGCTGACCCCGCTCTGTCATTTTACGTGACCTACCACTTGGTGGCTGAGTTGCTGTTGTTCCCAGTTGCTTCCACTTTGTTATAATCCCACTAACAGTTGAGCGTGGAATATTTTGCAGCAAGGAAATCACCGTTCCCTCTGCTGTCAATCACAGCCAGAGAGGATGGAGCAGCGGGTGGGACATAGCCCTGCTGTCTTTGTCTATGGACTCTGCCAGCGGGGCTTGGGAGTGAGCGTGCTTTACACCACGGCATCTGGCGCTTTGCATTGCACTTGGTGATGTAAGGCTTGGATGCAGCTGCTCCGCCATGGAAACCCATTCCATGAAGCTCTCTACACACTGTTGTTGTGCTCATCTGAAGGCCACACCAAGTTTCAAGGTCTTTGGCCATTGACTCTGCAGACAGTTGGTGACTTCTGCGCACTGTGCGCTTCAGCATGCGCTGACCCTGTTCTGTCATGTGACGTGGCCTACCACTTGGTGGCTGAGTTGCTGTTGTTCCCAGTTGCTTCCACTTTGTTATAGTCCCACTAACAGTTGACCGTGGAATATTTTGCAGGAAGGAAATCACCGTTCCCTCTGCTGTCAATCACAGCCAGAGAGGATGGAGCAGCGGGTGGGACATAGCCCCGCTGTCTTTGTCTATGAACTCTGCCACCGGGGCTTGGGAGTGAGCCCACATGAGCAGCTTAAAAGCGGGACATTTTAAAGGGGGGAGGACCCAGGAGCACTGGCAGTGGACCCCAGAAGAGGAAGATCAAGGCTGCTCTGTGTAAAACCATTGCACAGAGCAGTTACGGTAAGTATAACATGCTTGCTATTATTATTATTTATTTATTTTTTTTTTTTTTAATTGAACCTTTATTATCAAGTTAAAGTCATGCTAAAGTGGTTTTCAACCCAAAAACAAAAATGTAATATATTTCAGCTCACTAGTCCTTAGATGTGATGGCTGCTTTAGCCTTTTCTTTATAGTTTTCATTTCTCTTTATTTAAGGGTTTTACATAAATAAAAGCTGATTATTGTAGGCACCCCTGCAAGTGGTAAATGATTTATCTAAACCAGTGGTCTCCAAACTGTGGCTTTTTGCTTGCCTTTATCCAGCCCTTGGGGCACTATAACTGCGAGTAATAGAACAGTATTCTGACAATTGACATCAACAATGAGGCAAGTAGTGGAAGGTAGGTAATGGGATTTTGAAGGTGCCTAGAAATAATCCAAATAATATTTTTAAAAAGATTTCCCACTATTTATATTAATAAAATTACATTGGGTACAGTTACAACAGACTTGGCAATCACAACATGCTTGACTGTTTCCTGCGGAGCAAAGATGATGCTTCCCAACATGTTTTGCCCATCCTGGGCTTCCTCAGGGGAAGTGAAAGGCTATCCGCAATACAGTCTACAATTGTATCAAAAGATATTAATTGATCACATATAATTATACCATATACCGTACATCCAGCTATAATACTTCACATTATATATCCAATGAATTAACTTTCCAGAAGATTATAAGCCCCCGCTTAGCCTTGAGACTATACTGCCAATATCGTTCATAAGAACAAGAAACAAACAGATGCTGAATCGAAAGCACAGGCGTCCGTGTGATTGCAGAAGGTGCATAAGGGACCCAATTCTACAAAGATGGTCAAGATCAAAAATGGGGCACTATTTCTCCCAATTATACCAACAACGGGGCACTATTTCTCCCAATGATAACAATGGGGCATAATTTCTCCTACTGACACCAATAATGGGGCACTATTCCTCCCAATGATACCAACAATGGGGCACCATTCGTCCCAATGATACCAACAATGGGGCACCATTCGTCCCAATAATACCAGCAATGGGGCACCATTTCTCTCAATGATACCAACAATGGGGCACCATTTATCTCAGTGGTAACAACAATGGCGCATTATTTCTCCCAATGATACCAACAATGGGGCATCATTTCTCCTACTAACACAAATAATGGGGCACTTTTCCTCCCAATGATACCAACAATGAGGCATCATTTCTCCCAATGATACCAACAATGGGGCACCATTTCTCTCAATGATACCAACAATGAGGCACCATTTCTTCTACTGACACCAACAATGGGGCACTATTCCTCCCAATGATACCAACAATGAGACACCATTTCTCCTACTAACACAAATAATGGGGCACTATTCCTCCAAACGCTATCAGCAATGGGGCACCATTCCTCCCAATGATACCAACAATGGGGCACCATTTCTCTCAATGATACCAACAATGGGGCACCATTTCTCTCAATGATACCAACAATGAGGCACCATTTCTCCTACTGACACAAATAATGGGGCACTATTCCTCCAAATGATATCAGCAATGGGGCACCATTCCTCCCAATGATACCAACAATGGGGCACCATTTTCTCTCAATGATACCAACAGTGGGGTACCATTTCTCTCAATGATACCAACAATGAGGCACCATTTCTCCTACTGACACAAATAATGTGACACTATTCCACCAAATGATATCAACAATGGGGCACTATTCCTCCCAATGATACCAACAATGAAGCACCATTTCTCTCAATGATGCTAACAATGGGGCATCGTTTCTCCCAACGATATCAACAATGGGGCACCATTTCTCTCAATAATACCAACGATGGGGTACCATTCCTCCTACGGACACCAATAATGGGACACTATTCCTCCCAATGATACCAACAATGGGGCACCGTTCTCTCTCAATGATACAAACAATGGCGTATCGCTTTCTCCCAATGATACCAACAATGGGGCACCATTTCTCCCACTGACACAGAAAAAGGGGGCATTATTCCTCCCAGTGATACAAGCACCATTTTCTCCCCCTAATACCCAATATGGTGATGTTTTACTCCCACTGATGCAAAGAAAATTTCCACTCCCACTGGCCAGTCTGGCCCCTCTAAAGTCTGATGGTCAATAGACAGGCCCCTTGTTTAGAAAGTTTGGAGACTCTTGGTCTAAACCCTCTAACTGCTACTTGGTGTGCTAAAGGAAATTGAAAAAAAAAGACTTAGTGGCCAGATCACCAGGTGACAATAAAGGGGAAAAAAATGTCTAAAAATAAATCTAAGGCTGGCTATACACTATACAATTTTCTTGAGATTTTTGCTTTAGATTTACCAAAAACCATATAATATGAGGTCAAACCTAAACAACACTTTCATTTGTATCCAGTTAGGCAGGCCCTTGCACTACATAGTTGAAGGTAAATCTAAAGGAAATTGGGCAGAAATTGTACAGAAAATTGTATAGTGTATGGCCAGCCTAAGGATTGGTAAAATGTAATATAATATATTTTACATTTCTGGGTTTGAGTAGACCAGGTTTCTTTTTTATTGGCTAAGTGGTCAAGAAAACAGGAGCACCAGGCATGTCTGCACAGCG